TTTTCTAGAATTCTGAAACGAGTCTCCACACACTTCCAGGTAGAACACGATCCAGTCCTGGGTAAACTACATCTGGCAGTAAGGCCGCTGATCGGGAGATTGAAACCATCTCTTAGCTGTTGTTGTTACCAGGTCCACCCTCACCCAGGGTGTCAGCAGCTGCTATGGACAAAAAAGTAGATCCCCAAATCAAAAGAAAACACTATGAATGTATAAAACTACATTTTCATAGTAAAACTACCAGCAATACATTTTTATATAAAAAATGACTAAAAATACAACTTTATTAACATCAATACATTTTATCTGTAGTTGAAAGCGTGCAATTGTAATCAAAATACATTTAGCTGAAGCCATAAAATTGTGTTCAGAATATTTAGATTTCGGCATTAAATGACCCATAGAGGTGTTGATATGCCGCAAAGTGAAATCAAACAACCAAGCGGTACATAAAATAAGATTCTTTTAATTAACCAGTGTAACTTCGAAAATATCCGACGGTTAAAGCTAAATTCATATCAGAAGGTTACCTCTGATATGGGATCGAGTTCAATTCCCGTCGGAGGAGATTTCTTTATTTCCGACCATTGTTGCCTACATTATAAAAATGTTCGTGGATTTTAAGCCTGAACGCTACGGTAAAAGTTAAGAATGAAGATGGAAAAATCGACAATAATTAATAATGATTCCAGGTTCTCGGTGGTATTTTGGGGTCGAGTGTACAGTTGAAGTGTTTATTTAAAATTTATATGAAGAGAAAATGAAAATAATTTATTTTATTTATTGAAAAGTCAATACTGTTTAATGGAAGATGTATGTACGCTTGTTCACAAGCATATTCTCTATTCTATATTGGGAGGAAATATTGAAGAAAAGCAGACGATCACGCATGCGCACATAACATATGGCTGCCATCAATTTGTTTGTACGCAGGCGCACTGTTACTCCTTTCTTGTTTTGAGGGAAATGCGCATGAGTGATAGCGAACAAAAGAAAAAAAAGAAAAATGTAATTGGCAAAATAAAAAAAAATTTAGATACGTGTTCATGAGCAGTCCACATCGCTTCATAACATTTTGCATTGAATATATATATATATATATATATATATATATATATATATATAAAGAAATGATAAAAAGGCGGAACGTGTTCTTGCGTTTTCCATCCCACCGCAAAGTAGCAACAGGAAAACATTGGAACGATCGATCAAATACAAAAGACTTTAATCGAAGAAACAGATGAACAAACAAATAAATCATAGGCCTGATGCTAAGACAGTAGGCATTTTAAATGTTTCAAAAAATATGGCAGGTAGACTGTTACAAACTATTTTAAAAACAATTGCAGAATAAAGAAAGAATAATATATAAATGCTGTACCTTCAAAAGAAAGACGCGCCTGGGGAGAATGAAAAAATTAAATAGATGAATTGAAAAAAAAAAAAAAACCGAATTAATAAAGTTTGGATTCTAGAAAATTAAATAAATTATGAAATGAAAATGATATATAAATGATTGCCTAATTAGCATAACTAAGGCTTAGAAACTATATAATTGACAAAGTAATACGTGGAGGGCAGAGTAAGATACGCGATTTGTATATCTAAATTCCTCTCTCTCTCGAGTGGTATACACATTCTGATAATTACCGGTCACAGGGCTCCGTCCCTGCGCTGATAGTATCACGGCTATATAGTATCACCAGCTATGACTAACTTACACCAGCTCTGACCAGCTTGGACAAGCTATGATCAGCTAAGATCAGCTTGAACCAACGGCCCGAGTGAAAACATTCGGGTCCCCACGTTAAAAACTGACCTTGTGTCACAACCTGACGTAGTGGGGGGGTGTCAAGTAAATACCGTGTAAATTCCTCTCTCCTTCTCGTGGTATGCACATTCTGATACTTACCGGTCACAGGGACCCATCTCTACGCTGATAGTATCAGGTCTACGACTAGCTTGGACCAGGTTGGACCAGGTTGGACCAGGTTGGACGAGCTATGACTAGCTTAGAGCAGCTCTGATCAGCTTGAAGAAGCTATGACTAGCTAAGACCAACGGCCCGAGTGATGCAAGAGGGAGAGTTAAAGAAGCTTGTGCAAATGTTTGACAGAGCAGGGTTTGCGAGAGATAGCAAAAGGACAATGTTTGTTAAGAACAAGAAAGAACAGGATGTTGTGGAGAGCCATGATCTCCAACGTCATGAAGTGTCATGTTAGATAGAACAAGACATCGAAACTGTTACCGCAGTGGAAGAGTGATTGAAGCCGAGATGCCAGGTAGTTACCTATAACATTGCAGATTTTAGATTTTTGTCAAGAATCTCAAGGTATATCGCAGAAACCCCTGATATTCAGTTGGAAGCCTAAATTTATCGAATGTAAGTTGATTTTGATCACTAGAGCTTGATCGTTGAATCAGTGTATTTTAAGTGTGGCCATTATAAGTATTATTACAGTCACTGTTCGTTTGTAGTGTAGTGTGTTACTATGCAAAGATCATTTTTATTATCACTCATATGAAGCGAACAGATTAAGGTAGTTTAAATTGGTCAGTATCCAACCGTTCTTGGTATGACGATAAACTACATCCGTGTCCTGGGTATGACGATAAACTATATCTGCGTCCTGGGTATGACGATAAACTACGTCCGCATCCTGGGTATGACGAAAAACTACGTCCGCATCCCGGGTATGACGATAAACTACATCCGCATCCTGGGTATGACGATAAACTACTTCCGCATCCCGGGTATGACGATAAACTACATCCGCATCCCGGGTATGACGATAAACTACATCCGCATCCTGGGTATGACGATAAACTACATTCGAATCCTGGGTATGACGATAAACTACATCCGCATCCTGGGTATGACGATAATTACATCCGTGTTCTCGGTATGACGATAAACTACATCTGCATCCTGGGTATGACGATAAACTACATCCGCATCCTAGGTATGACGATAAACTACATCCGCGTCTTGGGTAAGATGATAAATGACATCCCACAGCAAGGCCTCTGATCAGGAGGTTTTGAGGAGCGTGGAACCACCCCTCATTTGTTCTCAGGTCCATCCTGATCCAGGGTGGTAGCATCTGTTAGCGTCCCATCTATGGTCAAATAAACTAAAACATTACAAAATAAAAAAAAAAAATACTAGCAATACATTTTTAACAAAAATATTAGCAGCAATAAAAATCTTGTCGGCATTTAATAACCCATCGAGGTTGATATGCCGTAAAACAAAAAAACCAAACCAATATATATTGAGATAGATATGAATAGACTGAGATAGATAGATAGATAGATATTACCAGCAATAAAAATCTTGTCGGTATTAAATAAGCCATTGATATATATATATATATATATATATATATATATAGATATATATATATAGATAGATAGAAAGATAGATAAAAAAATATTACCAGCAATAAAAGTCTTGTGGTAATTTAATAACCCATCGACGTTGAGTAAAACAAATAAACAAATAGAAAGCAAGGATGCTATAGATGAAGAACCTGGGGAATTTTCAAGAATATCGGAGAATATTACTCTCCGTTTTTCTAAAAATTTTGGACCAGGGTGCGGAAGAAAAAGTCAGTTATGTGTGCGTAATATTTAATCATGTATCCCATCGACGAGGCAGATTTTTGCCAATAGGTTGCAAAAACTTTCTAAAGTAGACCAGCTAAGGCCAGAACCCAGGATGCTATTTACCCATAGCTGGGGTTTCATACCTTTCCCAAGGGTACTAGCACATAAGTGAATGTAATGGATTTGGGAATTCGAACTCGGCTCTTTTCAATCCGAGCCATATCGTAATACACGCTTATGTGATCATGTATCTTTTGATACGTGACTGACGAGGTAGATTATTTTACAGTAGGTTGCCGTTTTTTCTAGACCAGCTGCCATCCAAGGCTATAGAACCCAGTCTGTTTGGACATAGGTGGTGGGGGGAAGAAAATTCATACCTTTTCAAGGGTACTAGCATGTAAGTGAATGTAATGGATTTGACTGGAATTCGAACTCGGCTCTCCGATTCCTCAATCAGAGCCACTATAAAAGTTAAATCGTGCCTCATAAACGCAAATCTTTCACAGATACTCGAAACATTCATATCTACTTAGTTTCGTATTTTTTATATGCCATGTCCTTTTAGGACGTGAGCGATCATGGCTCTCCACAACTTCCGGTCTTTTGTTGCTCTATGCAACTTTTTACACTTTCATTCAGTCAGTTTTGTGGCAAGGGTGATGCACACTTAGGCAATCATATATCTTTTATATACTATGCCCTTTTAGGACGTGAGCGATCATGGCTCTCCACAATTTCCAGTCTTTTGTTGTTCTATGCAACTTTTTACTCTTTCAGTCAATCAGTTTTGTGCCTTGCGTGATACACGCTTAGGCGATAAATGAGTGACGAGGCAGATTTTTTCCGCGTTAGGTTACTATTTCTTTCTGCGGTAGACCAGTTGCCATCAAACGCTATAGAACGCGGTCTTGCTATTTACCCATAGCTGAGGGGTGAAGATGAGGATTCATACCTTTCCCAAGCGTATTAGCACGTAAGTGAATGTAATGGATTTGACTGGAATTCGAACTCGGCTCTCCGATTCCTCAATCCATTACCTCATTGTGCCTCATAAAAGAAACACTTCCCAGAAATACCTCTCACATAATGGTAAGACATGAGTGGCTATGGTCTCTTCTTCTAGCTAATTTCTTACTTTTATATTTATAGGTATTTCCTGGAGGAATAAGTGGGTAGTATTTCTGGCGCACCTTCTAGATACAATCATTTTATTCGGTTCTTATTCTTCGTTTCGTTTCTAAGATTCCGATTCTGTTTTACACGCAACCAGACCAGACAGTTTCATTTTTCTCGTTTCGGTGTTGTCCTTGCACAAATAAAAGCGAGAACGGAAAAACCTCTCGAAACACTTCAACAAAATTCATCGCTTTTTCTGTGCTATTCATTATTTATGTGTCGACAAAAGAGAAGTGTGTTTTATCGCCATGTTCAAGAGGACCTTGTTCTATTTCTTGAGGAAAACTGACAGAAAGATTGCGAACGAAAGGAAGAAGGGAAAAGAATACGAACAAATGAAGGAGAAAAATGAAAGAAAGGTGGGAAAAAAGAAAATTTGAGAGGGAGATAAAAAGAAAAAAAGAAAAATGAAAGGAAGATAGAAAGAAAAAAAAACAGAAAAAGAGAGAAAAATTGCGAAGAGAAATATGAAAAATGAAAGAGTAGAAAATGAAAGAAAGAAAAACGAAAGAGAGATCAAGACAAGACAGAAAGATTGCGAAAAGAGAAAAGAGCAAAAAGAAAGAAAGTAAAAAAGAAAGAAAGAGAAAGTAGTGGAAGACTGCAAAAAGAAGAAAGATGAAAAAGAAAGAAAGAAAGAAAGAAAGAAAGAAAAGACGGAAATAAAAAAGAAAGAAAGAGAAAAGAGAGGAATACTGTGAAAGGAAGAAAGAGGAAAAAGAATGAAAGATAGCAAGAAAGAAAATAAAAAAAGAAAGAAAGAGAAATGAGAGGAAGACACCGAAAAGATGAGAAAGAAAGAAAGAAAGAAAGAAAGAAAGAAAGAATAGAATAAAGAAAGAGATATGATGGGAATACTGTGAAAAGAAAGAGGAAGAAGAAAAAGGAAAAAGAAAGAAAGAAAGAAAAGAATGAAAGAAAGAAAGAAAGAAAGAAAGAAAGAAAAATAAGAAAACGGTGAAAAGAGGAATGTGAAAAAAGAAAGAAAAAAAGGAATACGAAAAGAAAAGAAGAAAGGAAGAAAGAAAAATGAAAGGAAAACTTTCAAAAGAGGAAAGAGAAAAAAGAAAGAAAAAAGCAAAGAAGAAAGAAACATAAATGAGAGGAAGACTGAAAAAAGAGGAAAGAGGAAAAAGAAAGCAAGTAAAAAGACTGAAAGCAATAAAGGAATAAAGAACGAATGAGATATGAGAGGAATTCTGCGAAAAGAGGAAAGAAAAAAAGAAGAAAGGGAGAACGAAAAGGAAGGAAGAAAGAAAAAAGAAAGGAAGGAAAACTGTGAAAAGAGGCAAGAAGAAAAATAAAGGAAGAAATCAGGAAAGAAAAAGAGAAATAAATAAATAAAAGAAGAAATGGTTGGAAGACTGTGAAAAGAAGAAAGAGAAAAAAGAAAGAAAGAAAGAAAGAAAGAAAGAAGAAGCCAATAAAAATGATGGATAGAAAGGTTGAATGTAGAAAACGAGTAAGCTGATTAGTTAGTGAGTGAGTGAGTGAGATAGACAGGGAGAGAAATATTAAAGGAGGGATTGAGACTGTAAGACGGTCAAGTGAGAAGAGAAAGAAAAGTGAGTGGAGAAGATTTAGGCATGAAAACCGAAAATAAATACGAAGAAGAAATAAAAGGCAAAGCGGTAGAATGAAATGGCTGCAAATTTGTATTTGATAAAGAGAGAAAATGAGAAAGAGAGACATTAAGAAAGAAAGAGTAAGTTTAATAAATATAGGTAAGAAAATGAAGCCAGAAAACACACAGGAACAATAATCATAAGAATTTACCAAAGACCATGTTTATTCTCTAGTTTGCCGGCCCAGTAACTTATTCAAATTAATTTATATTATACTCAGGTTACCAATGTGATAAATATATACCGTTATTTTTACTCTCTAACTTTGAACATTCCACCATCTTTATAACAATGATACTGCCACCTAGCGTTCTAAGTAAAATTAAACTATTTATCTCCCTTGAGTTGGTGCTGTAAAAACCACAGACAAAAACATAAATAAAATTGGCGGATTATTTGATTAGTTTTTTCTTTATTTTATTTTTTTTTAAATGTCATGTTTCTTCATGACGTGGGAGATCATTGTCCTCCGTAGCTCAATTTCCCGTAACATTTCTTAATTACCACAAGTATATTATGAAACTGAAGTGGTTTTCCGTTAGTTTCTCCACGGCTTTGAACAGAGTTGCCATTCTTCAAGAGAGATGTCTTAGTGTAAAGTTAAATGGTTAGCATGGGTAGTATGGTTAATTAGACTTACTAAATAATCTACACTGATGTAGTGAAAGAGATAATCAGCTACCTCGAAAAAGAGTTCATGTTTTCTCTGCGATCTGCTGAAGAGAAATTACCAAGAGTAGTTAGCAAAAATCTACTTTAAAAACCAGAATCTATGCTAATGTTCTTCCCTCCCCTGAATGGCATGACCAATCAGAAAGATCTCTCGGTGAACAAAAGTCGTTGTTTTTCGCTTATACGCATTTAGACTTTCTGAGCTTGGTGGACAAACACGCATTTTTGCTGGTGAGAAATGAAGACTGGATGTGTGATCCCATTTTGTCGTTTCTACGTTGCCTGTTGGACTGTTACGACGGACTATCGTTTGAACTGTGATTTGGCTATAAGTGTTGCGGTCGATCACAGAAGAAGAAATCCATTGCAGACGTTTGTTGCTACTATAAGCTGACAGTTTTTTTTCTTCATTTTCTTTTCTTTACAACTACAACTGAATAGTAAATTTGATCCTCACCGGGTGCCCCATAAGTAAAGAATGGTCACCATGCAGTTTATCCATAGTTGGTACAGACAAGAAGAGACGAATTCTGTCCCTTTTCTAAGGTCATTAGCATGAAGTAATCGTTTCGGCTAGAATTTGAACATGACCTACTGATTTCAATTTTATTGCTGACTAGACTGCCCGTGATCCGTTGGGTCACTGACGGTTCAGGTTATAAAACTGTCATACCTGAACGTACCTATTTTATTAATAATAGACTCTCCTACACATAATAAGTAGTAGTAGTAGTAGTAGTAGTAGTAGGGGTCGCCAGTTGGGCTCAGGGGTGTTGAGCGAGTCAGTCGATGTCGGACATTGAAGTATCAACCATCACAACTCGATTGCTGCGTCATTAACTCTTATTTCAAGTTCCTAACGTTTTGTACGTCGAACCTAATTTAGGACGACTTATTGAAATACAAGCCTCCACAGTGAAAATTACTCTACAACAAAAACATTGAAGTTGGTTTCAACATTCTATTGAAATGAAAATTAATTTTTTATGTATTTAAATATTTCAATTCGTATGTGTCATCATCGGTATGGTTGACAAGTTCATGTTTAACGTTTTACTGATCGTTTACAGCATTTAATAGGAACAGAACTTCCGGGATAAAACTGATCATTAAATCAGATTAATTCAAAAATAATTTTCTTAATATGCCAAAAAAAAAAAAAAAAAATTTAAATTATATTCATTTGAAAATATTTTTCAATATGCCAAAAAGTATTATTTAAAATATTGTTTGTTTAAAGAAAGATGAAATATAGATAATTAATCTACAAAAAAAAAAAAAAAAAAAATGGACGAAACAACAAAGCGGGATCTTTTTGTGTCTGTCTTTAACTTAAAAATATTCTAATTAAAAAATTGTCTGTTTTAAGAAAGTTAAAATAAAAATATTTACTGTATAAAAAGCTCGTATTTTTAAATCTTATTCACTTGAAATATATATTAAATGTGATTAACTTCAAAATATTTTTTTAAATATTTAAATTATTGTTTGTTTAATGAAAGCTAAAATATAAATAATTACTTTACAAAAACCTGGACGAAACAGCAAAGCGGAATCTCTTTGTGTCTGTCTTGAACATAATTAATTAAAAAAAATCTGTTTGAAGAAAGTTAAAATAAAACTAGTTACTGTATAAACATTATGTCATTATGCGCCGGACGGACTCACCACACAAGCACGCATGCAATCACAGACTTTTAGTATTAGATAGATAGATAGATAGATAGATAGATAGATATGAAGAGACTGAGATAGATAGATAGATAGATCGCGATTACGCCACTTACACATCCATACAGTAAAATAGATGATTGAAAATCTGTGGGAGGTTATCTTCTAAGATGAGCTTCCCTAAGCAAAAGTAGTGAACAGTCATTTAATATAGTTACGGGAAAAGTGAAGCCATTTTGTGGCGCAATTGTGGTCTTCTCTCATGTTCTTGTTTCTTGTAACGGCATTCACCCGGGGTGGGTTGAGCCGGCTCCAATATTGGAGTTTCGTGGGAATTTGGAATTCACAAGCGGCCCCCAACCCGCATGTATAGCACATGAGATTTGATTATAGTGGTGAAGGTTTCGTGAAGGACCATCCTGAAGGACCGATTACAGAGACCTGGTGCACTACGTGCCACAAGGTCCCCAAACGACCCTCCGCAGGTTTTGAATTCAGTGTTTTCCTTCTCCTAGACCAGTTGCCATCCAAGGCTATAGAACCCAGTCTGTCCTGCTATTTACCCATAGCTGGAGGGAGAAGGAGAGGATGCACACCTTCCCCATTGCTTTAATAGCACGTAAGTGAATGTAATGGATTCGACTGGAATTCGAACTCGGCTCTCCGATTCCTCAATCCAAGCCGCTATCCATTACTCCACTGCAGTGGTCTTCACTTTCTCCCGAACCCCTAGGCTTAAGACGACCATGCCTTACTGTTCACCCCATCACTGAAAATTCCTTACTATTTATACAGGTACATGACACAGGGTAAAATAATTATAATCACTATAAACATTATATTTAGTTGGTAGTCGTGAATTTTGCTCTTTGAAAACATTCTACTCAAACAATGCCGGCTAAATATAATGTTTATAGTGTATAGAAAATGTGTCACCCGGCCGGGATCGAACCTGCATTTCCTTCTTATATTAAGGGAAAACAATCTTTGAGACATAATGTGCTTTAGCCATTTAGACCTCACAGTAAATAAAGACTCAATTCTTCTTCTTCTTCTTCTTCTTCTATATGCTGTGTCCTTTTAGGAAGTGGATGATCATGGCTCTCCTTAAATTCCTGTCCTTTGTAGCCCTTAGTAAAGGTTGTTATTTTGCTATATCTTCTAATCCCTGTTCTGACAACTATTTACACAAGCTGGCTAGGCAGGGGTTCTTTTCCTCTTGCCTTCAAGTCCTGTGAGTGTCAGATTTTCCAAGCTCTCTTTCCTCAATATCTGATCTATATATTGCAACTGTCACTTTCTGATTCTACGTATAAGTGTCCTTTTTGTTTCTATTTTCTTTAAAACTTTGTTGTTTCTCACATATTAAATCTACGGTATTCTCAGCATCCTTCTGTAGAACCGCATTTCTATTGCCTCACATCACTTCTTCATCTGTGAGGAGATAGTCTAGCATTCACTGCCATATAGAAGGATTAACATTACATAACAGTTAAGTATTGTTTTCATTGTTATTAACAAAAATACCTTGTTTCTTAATACCATGCTTACCTTTTGGAAAGCATTTTTCACTATTCCAATATGCATTCGGGTTTCGTTGCCGCATATACCGTCCTCTGTTAAAACCCTTCTTGGATATTTTGTACTCGATTTTGGCATCTCCAATTTGTAATTCATATAGAGGGGTCATTTTTTGTTGAGAGCAATACGTATGTCTTTTTAAAATTGAGGTTAGTCCTTTCTTCTTGCTTTCTTTTACTATCGTCTGTAGAAATTCCTGTATTTTCCTTTCTGTATCTGTTATCAACACTGCATATATAATATTGTTAGGATTGTGGCTGCTAATAATGAATTCTGAATCGACTTCTAATTCTCCCCACCACCACCGTGAGGATTGAATAAATCCGTCGAGAAGACACATCCTTGTCTTACACACCTTTCTGTCTTTGTATATTTACTGAATTCATTTTTTTTTATCCGTATGTATGCAGTTTGCTTCTAGTATAATTTCTGGAATAATCTAATATACTTCCCAAATAAAACAAGCTTACCTAGCAGTTCAAATAGTTCTTTGTGACGTACCGAATTCAAATTCCGACCTAGTCTGTTGCGTTTACTTTGGGAAAAGTATTAATCATTCCCTTCTTCTCTCCCTAGATATGGGTAAAATTGTAGGGTAGATTGGGCGCTATAGCTGTGTTAGGCAACTAATCCAGGGGACAGAAAACCACTCCATTACATTTCCCAAGAACAGTCATGGCAAAGCACAATTTAATCATATTAAAAAAAAAAATAAAAAAATTGAATATTAAAGGAAAGGAAGAATATTAAAGGAAGAAATGAAATATTAAAGAAAAGGATGCTGTGGAGAGCCATGATAACCTAAGTACTTTTTCTTATTTGATTTCTTATTTGAAGCATTAAATGATAAAAAAATCTCCTACAATTCGTATGTTACCATGTTTCCTCACATGTTGCATTATATTGTACGCAAGGTGTAACAAAGCTCTGGAATATGAAAAGGTATATATTATTTTCGAATTTCATATTTGCTTGGCATGTAAATATGGATTTTAATTACATAATAAAATGACACAGGGAATCGTGTGGAATAGACTTATGCAAAACATTTCAGAGATAATTGATGAAAATTGTTTTTTTTTTTTTTTAAGCTGGGAAAATGAAGAAAAGATAAAAAAAATGATCACCAACTAACTATAGCAAAAATAAAATTAAAGATTACACGAAAAAAAAAAAAAAAAAAAAAAAAAGGGAAAAAAATAAATTCTGCAAAAATGGCCGCGTTCATAAAGGTGAATGAGTTAGAATAAAGATGGCGGCTATGGTAATGACCGAAAACGATTGGTAATTAATGCTCTCTCACACGCATACACAGGCAAAATAAGATGTGTGCATTAATTTGTTCTTTCATCCCAGTTTCTTTCCTTTCTCTTTCATGTTGTTTTTTTCTTCATCTGTTTTTCATTTGATTTTTTTTCCTTGTCGTTAATCCTTTCCTGTAACTACAATTTTCATCGGCTTCATCATAAATCAAAAGACAGAAAACACAGCTCTATTTTTTTTTATCGCTCATCAGGCAACTCTGTATCTTCGTTAGGCACAACAAACTGTCTTTATTATCTCCCTTTAATGACGAACTCTTCTGATATTAACGAGGCTTGGCTATGTCTGACACGAAGCCAGGGAAAAGGGCGGGATGGATATGTTATATTCTGCACCATTATTCAAAGTGGGGTGGGTCAGCTAATCTAAAGAATCGACATTCAAAATCTTAGCTTTCCACTGAGATATGGACGTCGAACGTTTGGAAGAATTATATAGTTATCATATGCAAAGAGATAACTTTTGAACTTTCCATTTTTTTTTTTTGCCAGAATTAATTTTCGACTCGTATTTTTTCTTTCAAATTTTGCCTTTTTTCCATAAATAATATTAGTACTATGCTACTAGGTTGGCATGTCGGTACCAAGCTTTCACTGTGGAAAAGGTTAAATGCAGCCGTCTCTTCTACTCCAGCAGTCCCCTCTCTCACACTTCCCAACAGTGGATATCCCTTCCTTCTTCTTGCTTCCCTGATAGCTATAATCTTCACATATTCAAATATAATGTCAATCGACATCTTCTGATGCCTTGATCTTGATCCTAGTCTTTATCTATATCCTTTCCTCAAACACCCCTCTTTACTCTGTAACCTCTTGCGCGCTAGTGGTACTCCCGCCTTACTTGGGGTTAAATGCTTAAAAAAAAGATAGATAGATAGATAGATAGATAGATAGATAGATTCTTCAAATATTCAAATGCAATGTCAATCGACCTCTTCTGATGCTTTGACCTTGACGCCCGTCCTTCTCTTTATATTTTCCTCAAACACTCCTCTTTACTCTTGCTCTCACTCCCTGTAATCTCTTGCGTGCTAGTGGCACTCACGCCTTACTTGGGGTGAAATGCTTAAAAAATAGCTAGCTAGCTAGATAGATATGAACAGACTGAGATAGATAGATAGCAAATAGATAGAGTCCTCAGATATGCAAATGCAAATGTAATGTCAATCGGCATCTTCTGATGCCTTGATACTGACCCCCATCGTTCTCTATATCCTTTTCACAGACACTACTCTTTAATCTTGCTCTCGCTCTCTAACCATTTACGTGTTAGTGGCACTCCTGCCTTGATTGGGATGAAATGCTTATATATATATATATATATATATATATATATATATATTTTTATGTTTATTTATTAAAGACATATTTTTATGTTTAACGTTGTTATTTTATAGATACAAGTATTTAATAAATAAATTGTCGGACCTTGTCCATTTCTTAATATATGACGTCATTTGTTTACATTCGATACGCCAGAGCAGTTATGAATGTACGAGATTCATGGAAAGTTGGAGTTTATAAGCAGTAAATTCGACCTTGTCTACCGATAGCTCAAGCGGTAAAGGCACGTCAGCGTATATGACGGTTCCGTATAGGATGCAGGTTCGAATCCTATCAAAGAACGAAAATTTTCTATGAAAAGGACATTCAGGCGGTAAATGTTATTTAATACTGTTTATCATAAACAGAGCATTTGCTTAAAATTGTATCTATAAAATAACAACGTTAAACATAAAAATATGTCTTTAATAAATAAATTGTCGGACCTTGTCCATTTCTTAATATATATATATATATATATATAAGTCAACATAGAGGCGACAGTCTGTTTCATCTATCTCTGCCACATATGCTGTTATTTTTGAGCTATTTATATATATACGGGTTAGTGGTGCATTGCATATATAATAGCCGAGAAAAATATATAGCATGAAACTTGTCGCCTCTATAGTGTTTTCACTTTTATATTTACACACGCTCTATCTCTGATATTACTTTATATAAATATAGCACACCTTAAGACTATATTTCTTTATATATATATATATATATATATATATATATATATATATATATATATATATATTACAATAAACGTGCAATCAATTTACAAATATATGAATTATTCACACAAAACTAATGCAAAGGTTAATGGTTTAAATGGCGAGACATCCATCATCGCAAACAATTCAAATGGTTTTTGGCGCGTTCAAA